CCCAACCGCTAGATGGCAATTGTAGCCCTACTGAGACATGACTACTGGCAACGCGAGACGTGAGAGTTTAGAGAGATCAGTGTTGTGTTTTGAATTCCAGGGGCGCCGCTAGCAATTTTGGGCCCTACGAAAGAATATGAGGTTGGGCCCCCTACCGCACCAAACATACACTATATTGCTCAAAGTATTGGGAAAACTCAAAAAAACAAATCGCCAAACACCTATGACTTGTACATATGCGTACACTCATTTTAGATACTTCCAAAACTGTGGCAACAAAGATGGAAATACAATTTTTAAATACATGAATTATGTTTCCATCTTTGATGCCACAGTTTTTGGAAGTGCCTTTTTCTGTTCTAAAGAAGGGGGTGTCCCAATACATTTGTCCATATGTATGTGTCAGTCATTGGTGTTTGGTGATGAGTTTTTGGCTCAAGGTCTGCATTTAAAGTCACACCAGAGGTGTTCAGCTGGGATTAGGACTTGACTTTCTGCAGACCAGTCAAGTTCTTCCACACTGACTCAATCAATCTTTTTTTCTTTTTTTTAACCTTGCCTTACACAGAGGCATTGTTGTGTTAGAATAGAAAATTGTCCTGTTCAAACTTTTGGTATAGCAAAAATTTAATATAAATTAATTTAAAAAATTTAAATGTATGCATTTAGCAGACGCTTAAGCAACTTACAGTGCATTCAGGCTATACATTTTTTATCAGTATGTGTGCTCCCTAGTAATTGAACCCACGACCTTCGCACTGCTAACGCAGTGCTCTACCACTGAGCCACAGACTTTTGCTATTGCTTTTGACCATTAGGTATCAGTAACATAATTCATTCAGAACTTTGTTTTATGGACATAGACTTTCTGTACCACACTATTCTGCTGATATGGAATGAGTTTGACTACTTAATCAGTTATATTAATAGAAATGCTTCACTGGGGCAAACAAAAAAATCCTAAAATAATAAATAGTATACCCCATAGCAGCATTTCCAGCGGTATCCTACATTTCTCAATCATGATCTTACTCAGCTAAATGTGAC